TATTTTAAGAAAATATAAACTATAAATAAATAAAATTTATAATACAAAATATTTTAGTACAAAGCTAATTATTATGACTACTAGAGAATTTCAGTGTAAACCACATTGTGCATTAATCTAACACCTGCTTTTAACTTAGAGTCACTTCTTTACAACTTTCAAAGATTCTTCTCCTTTAGAGCTAATGAATATCTGTATTTGATGAGCATTGATTTGATAAACATCCATGTTAAGGTTCCAACACTCTTCTTTTTGATTGAGTTGGAACTTGCAATTTTGACAAGAGTGAGAATCTTCATCCTTAAGATCCCATTGCACCAATTTCTTTAAGCCAATATTATTATTAATCATATAAAATTTTCATTAAAAAAATAAATAGATGCATAATTTTTTTTTTCTTTTGCATCTACCATTGTTTTTTTGCTTACTTTTAAGTCAATACTATCTTTATAGTCAGACAATAATACTTTTTGTAAGCACGTCAAAACTTTCAGTTCTTTTATTTTAACAAAATATAGAATCAAGACAATGGTTTTTACTACTTCTTTGTTAATTCCATTGAGAATTTTTGTACCTTATTCGCTTTGCTTTTAGAATAGATAGTAATTTTAATCATTTGACTAAATAACATAAGCTTATTTTGAAAAAAAAAAACATCTTAAAATTAAGTTTTAGTTATCAATTGTAGATTTATCATACTAAACTTAGAATTATTTTTTACTTGAGTTGTTTTATTTCCATTGTTAACTAAGACACTTTATATATTAGTTTTAAGGTTGGCACACTAAGTTTGTTTTTAAAAATATTAAAGTAGTTCCTTCTTAAGTTCTTTAACTTACTCGTTCAATACTATTATTTTTTGAAATGATTCAATTGTCTTTGTTATTGCATTTGAGATGCATTGTGGATTCTCAAGTTCATCAATCATATGCAATACATAATACAATATTTCTTTCCATTGTGCTACCATCATTTACTCTAACTAATATTATTCTAGTTTTATTTACAGCCAAAATATTGTATTGTAAGGTATTTTGTTGCCAAAGCACCATAAGCTAGGTTTTTAAATCTCTTGCAGTAGCTTACGTGCATTTTTCTATACTAACAAATAATTGTGTCTATAGATTGTATATGTACAAAAAAATTATGCAACGCTTCCAAAAAATATTGCATTCCAAGCTCCTAAACCTTATTGATTTATTATTCAATTCAACTTATACATCTTTGATATATAATTGAGCAAACCTTGGATTTTTTTTTCTTTCAACAAGAAATAAATTATCTCATTTAGGAATAGATTTTTTTAAAAATATAAAAGATATATTAACCCATAGCACATATTGTTTATTAATTTTTGTTCTATTTGATATAAAGATCAATGAAAAAATTTATATTTAGATGTTCTTATCAAACCCCTTTGTATTATAATTTGCACTTCTAAGAGGATTGAGCAAAGATTTTTGTAGAAAATTTAACAATATTAAAGAAATTTTTGTATTAGTACAATATGTCAAATAAGTTATGTTACATGAAATGACTTCAACTTGCATTGTTATGTTCAATGAAAGATATGGCAATAGTTGCAAGTGCTCTACAATGCTTGAGATTGCATGCTTATCTGTAAAAAAGTATAACATGTAAGAAACATAACATTAGACTAATATTACACTATATAATGCTACAAATTTTGTTACCTCAATATATGTTTGTCTTGCCACATTGTGTGCTTCCATGTTCTTCTATAATTTTTATTGGCAATGTATTAATGTGCATGGTGCACAATGAGCAATAATTATATCATGACCCATAGCTAAGCCTTACACATATTTTCTTTCAAATTGACACACTTGCAATCTCATAAATCATTACTTTTCCCTTTCATTTTTCTATTAGTGTTGCTTGGTTGTATAAGTATGCAATATGTGACAATATGTTAATACTTGACTTTAAAAACTTATCTACGTTCTATTTCAAATTTATCCTACAAATCATCTTACAACGTTTCACTGCCCAACAAAATGAATATATATATATATATATATATATATTCCACATTTGTGGATACAAGATAATATCAAACCTTCATCTTTGCTTTCTTTTTTACAAATAGATTTAGTAACTTATCTCATGCAATAAATATACTAAAACTCCCTTAAGTAAAACAAATTTTTTGTTATTATCATTATTATTTATATTGGTAATTTTTAACAAAACTTAGTCCCCTCAAAAGAGAAAAGAAAATGCACTGCAGTAAGTACTTCAGTTGTGATAACTACTTGCAAATCCCCCTCCTGATTTTTTTTCCCTCTGTTTTTAGTATCATATTTGTAGAAAATAATTGATACACAGATACCCATACATTCATGAGTAATACAATGGATTAGCACTAATCACAATCAAGGAGCATGCTAATAACTCAAGGCAATGCGAAGGAAGGGCCAGGCCCCCAAGCTCTTTGCTGGGGCTCCTTGCTTGCGGTGGAGTTTTAGGGTTTCGATTGCTCGTCTGCCGTGTGCATGTGCGATTGTGTGTGTAGATAAATAAAAGAGAGATACAGATCCCTGGAGGATATTGACGGTGCTCTAGTTGCTATGTACATGGACATGTGCAGCTTTTGTTGCCGAGGTTGTGGAGCCTCTTGTGTCTCACACGTGCCTCGTAAATAAATAGATCCTCGTGTTTCTCCGCCTTAAGAAGACGCTGGTCACCCAGCTCTCACGTCGCCTTCTCTTCAACCCGTTCACGAGGTGGCCGTTGTTGTCCTGCAGGTCCCGAACCGATTGATGAACACAGCTTCGAAAGAGTCCCGGGTTGGCATGACGGTGGTCACATGTCCTGGTGACGGAATGGCGATGGCATGCCGACACCGCACTTTCCTCCGCAGTTTCGCCGTCGCATCCAGCGACTATTCCTCAGGCCTTCTGTTTGCAATCACAGCAGACACAATCCTTAACCAGAAAACCTGGAAGCCTGGTCGCAGAATGGCAAAATTGCGGCGTAATTGGATGGAAGATCAATCAATCCTCAAGGCACTGTACAGAAATAGCTCAACCCAATCCAACCCAGCAGAACGCACAATCTTCAGAGCAATTTGTAACTTTTTCAATTGCGAGGTGTGGCTAGAATTGAGGGGAACAACGATTCCCTTGCTCAGTGGAATGGGAATTCTGTCTCCGAGGCTTGATTCTGAATCCTCGTCTTCGAGATTCTCGATGGGATCCCAAAGCTTGAACGCCGATTCTGCCGGATTCTCGACGGAGCAGTTGGGGTTTTCGTCCAAAAATCCACCTCTGTCGTCACCACTTCCGTCAAAATGCTTGTCCTTTTTCTGGTGCACTGTTCTCAAATAAGATCTTGTGGCACGAAAGGGTTCTTTACTTGATGTGAATAAAGTGTGCTTTAAAAGCTTTGGAGAGTGCAGAATAAGGAGATGTCACGTAATAAATCAATACGATTTTTGAGATTAGACTGTTTGTGTCATTTTATATCTTGATTTTGACAGTTGTGTTAGTTTTATTTTTTTATTTTTTATAATTAAAAGTGTTATTCTTTTGTAGTTTTGTTTTTTAAATATCAAAAAGTCATTATATTTATATTGGTATTCACGAAGCAATGTTAAGGATTTTGTAACTAGGATTTGAACTACCAATCTATCAGTAGTAATATTTCATGCTTTGGATAGTATAAGGTTGTTGAGGATCATATAATAACTTCAAATATATATATATATATATATATGGTTACACAATGCTGTATAGACCACATTACAAAACTGCAGTATAATAACAAATTCCTAACAGATTCAATATATATATATATATATATATTTGTATTTTTATTTATTTATATATTAAAACATTAGAATACAATTGGATTTAAGGGATCATACACTAAGAATATCATCTTTAATATCAACTCTTTACAACTTTGATCTCTTTGATGTTTACTTTTTATCTCTTTAATTCATTGCATGCATTTCTTATATTTTTTACAAATCAACTTAATTTCTGTTTAATATATATATATATGTATGTATGTATGTATGTATGTATGTATGTGTATATATAAATACATACATATTTATTATATAATTTTTACATGTTGTTATTGCTACTAAATTCTTAAAAATAAAAAGAATGTTGAGTTCATACAAATACTACTACAATACATATTAAAGTATTATATGAAAATTTAAATTAGAACAAACATTTCAATATATATATATATATATATATATATTTAATTTTTGAATACAAAAATTTTGATTTTATATTATTTTAAGTCAAATAAATCAATGATTGGTTTAATATTATAATATGTATTCAATATTCAAAATATAATTATTTTTCATACAACTATAGTATATGGATATGAAACATCAGATAATAATATTAGAAAATGATATCACAAATCATTCATCAACATAGTAGTATGTTTTTTTTGAAGCTACTCATCTTTTTACTATGTCAATTATATATTTTTTGTAATGTCAATAGAAAATTGGTATGTATGTAAATGATAATATGTAATATATATATATATATATATATATATTCATTGAAATTGTTCCATAAGAGAATTAAGTGTTGTGATGTCAACTTTTACAAAATACATATACTTTTACTTACAACATTTAATATCTATAGACTTTTAAAATTTACATATTATGTGCATTTGCAACTTTTAAAGTTCAAAGATGTTTCAATAATCATAAAGATATTTAAAAAGAATGGCTTCTAAATATATAATCATTAATATCCAAGTTTTTTGTTTTTGAGTCTTAACTCAAATTAATTTTAATAGATACATAATTATGTTTTATATGTGGTGAAGATTATTCATAGATAAGCATATAAACTGAAGATATAGCTGAACATAGTAAGTCACATAAATTTACATTCAAAATCTTCAACTTTATTAAGTGAATTAATTAGGGGAGCATGAATAGTTTACAGATATTGACAGGCAATTGCTTACAGTCGAGTAATTGTGAACAAGGATTAGAAAAAAGTAACAACTGTTTAGCAGCGTTTATTTCCCATGGTAAAAGCTGAATATGTCATTAGCATAAGCCACAGCCTTCTGCAAAAGTTCTCTACTGCAGAGCACCTCAAATTTGAAGACTGTTACATGCAGAAATATAATTACATCACTATTAACCAACTATTTAAAACTCATTCTGCTACATAGAAATATTATTTACTCTAAGTTGAAAAAGAAACAGAAAACTCATTAACTCTAATGAGTACTTAGAACTAACTTCCAATAATAATCCTGAAAGTAAAGCCTGAAATACGTATGATTCTATGGATTCTCAGAACTCAAAACCACAAAAGTGTCATTTTGAGATCGTATTTACAATTTCTAATGTAAATCAAGCCTCTAATGTCCAGGAGGTTCGCTTCATTCACTTGTGGCAGTCGCAGTCAGCACAATTGCAGTTGTGTCCGCACTTGCAATCATTCTCCACATTGTAGCTGCAAATCCCAACAGCATAACCATGCACAGAAATGAAGAATTGAACGCATAAAGGGGGGAAAAAATAAAAATAAAAATAAAAAGAGAAAGAAAGAAAGAAAGCGAGGAAGAAAAAACATAAAGAGTACACTTACTTGCGGTTTCCACCAAATGAAGGTGCGGCAAGTGTCCTTCCACATCTACAAGACCAAACAACTACTAATTAGAACACTTCACGAACGATTGCGAAATTAGCATGCAGAAATAACAGAAACAGTTTAAAAAATCAAAGACCTCTACGATCAAGAAAGCTCTCTAGCCGCATGTAACGTGGAGTTTCATTCTCAAACACACTGCAATAAACCACTCACTCTTGAAGAACTGTTTTGAAGCGTACTCTAATAATCTAAAACCTCAGAGAGTTCAGAAGGAAACAAAAGAATCGATCGCAATCAAAAACCAATAACTGCTGCACATATCACAAGGCGAGACGTAAACCCCGAGCCACATTACCAACCACATCGCCTTCAACAGCAGACGCAAACGTCTACACTCCTACAAAATTCCTACCATTCCCGACAGCTCAAAATCAACCATGAACCAGCAAATCACCTGATCACATACTACAGCAGCAAGCACCCGACCAGCAAAACCCGCTACAACGAGAACACTTACTTGCAGTGGCTGCAAGTGCAATCGGCACCGCAGTTGCAATTAGAGTTGCCGCACCCATCCATGATGAACGAAGCTCAAATTCTCAAAAAATACCTCAGAAACGCGTGAATACAAATACACTTCTTAAGAAATCTGGCTCTGGAATAAAGAGATCGAAGTCAGAAAGCACATTTGTCGAAATCACAGCCTGAGCTCCCCTTCATATACACACAACGGAGCCAGGGTTGGGGCCACACCAGCCGACATCGACGACCACAAAGGAATCCACGTCGTAAAGGAATCAGATCCCCAAGTGTCAGAAGCCATCTCGAGTAAGCAACGGTTTATTGACAACTCCACCAGGTCTCGACACCTCAACCAGGTCTTGTCAGCGTTCCACAGCACACACACATACGCGCACCAACTCCCACGCTCCCACGCATTCCCCCTTTTGCACTATTCTATTCTTTTCCTCTCAGATATTTTGGAAAAGTTCCCGGGAATGGGAACGTAGTTCTCCTCAGTTTTCCGTGAAGGAGCCCACGTGGTCGTATTTCGTTTTCGATTAGTTGTGCTTTGACAGCATCGCGGAACTGGCGTTCGCAGGGTATACGGGCCTTTCGTGGGAAGATTGATACTCGTCCGGGTATCGGATTGTCGGCAGGTGCTTGTGCAGTTTTTGTTCTGCATTGTGGTTTATATTTTTTAAATTTTTTGTGTGTTTTTTTATTTTTACACTGCAGGGGTGAGCCGTAAGCGAGGTTTTGTCAAGGAAATTTATTGGTGGGATTCAAATCGTCAACATGTGTAGTTGTGGTTGTGCTCTTGAGTCCAATCTTGCCATCTTTACAGTCATTGCAGACTACTTTATGATCAATTTTAGTTTAAATATTTTGCAACAATTGTTTATCGCCCTGAAAACCAACAGGAAATACAAAGATAAAGATGTAGACGTGCTTTTTTTTTTTCACATAGGATATCTATTATGTAATTTTATTTTGATTTTAATTTGAAGATGTACTATTGGTTCATGAGAGGAGTTGATGATATATGCAACAAATTTGAATAAAAATAATAGGTAGTGATTTGCATGTGAACTAGATTTTTTTTTAAATCAAATAGCAAAATATTTTCAAAGCCAACTTTCATTTTTTTTGAAAATATGTATAATTCTGCCCAAGCATATATAAATATTTATTTATATTTTCTTGCATAAACTTGTGTCATTGGGCACTACAATTTCTCTGGTTCTTTTGTTCTCATGTTCCTTTGTTCCCATGTTTTCAAAATTCCATGAGTTTTTCAAGTTCTTTTCTTCACAATTTCTTTGTCTCTTTGATTTATATCCAAGTTTTCTTATATATATATATATATATATATATATATATTCTCTAATATAAAAGTGTTGTAATAATTGAACATACAAGACAAATTAGTTATAAGATATTTTCTTCTTGTGTTTAATATATGTCTTATATATGTTTGTAGATATGTTTATAGATTTTACAAATATTCATAGGGTTATTAGATTTAGATTTGGATCAATTTATTAAAGACAAATTAATCACAAGCTCACAATCTTAAGAGACCTTTTTGTTAAATTAATTTCTACGAGTAATATTTTAGGTTTAAAAGTATATTGTATTATTTAAAAACAAAATCTGAAGTAATGCACATGTTTAATAGATTAATATGTACTAATGAGACAATTTATACAGAAAAGAAAAGAAAAGAAAAAAAAGAAAAGAATAAGAAGAGGTAATTTGCAATAAAACTAATAAACAATCAAATGATTAAAATAAATAAATAATCTAGAGGATAAATGATATATTGGATGGCTAAGAATGTGCCATGCATTTTATATGGAAGGAAAATTAATTGAAACTTAAAGAGTTCTATTTAATGCATGTATTATTTTCAATCCAAACTTATAGAATCTTTGAATAGTTTATTATTAGATTGGTACTTCTTTATTGTTCTTTGGATTGCTTTGAATTTAAAATTGTGCATATTTTCTCATTTAATTGATGCATTGGAGATATTTCTCTTGAAACATATCTAACATTAAAATATCTTAAATTAACAACTCAAGGTTTTTCAGCAATCTAGGGGTTTTTTTATAAGAAAAAAATATAATTGGTGGAGAAATAAGGTTTTGATATGCTCCAAAAGAAAAAATTATCAAAATCATTGTGGTTTAATTGATATAAGATTTTAGAAGGCTTTTATACTTTGAGCTCTTGAACCAACACATATACTTGGCCAAAACCATCCATAAAAACATATTAAACCACCACCTTCATCACACTAAACTACCACCTTGATTCTTGTAAAGTTTGCCAATCATTTGTGGATTTGGAATGGACTTGGTATCTTTCTACATGAAGAATGGTTGGTTATTGATTTCTGCGAGGGTGGCTTTTGACAAAGTCTACATGTTGGTACATGGGCATGACATAATTTAACATATTTCAACATCATAGAATACACTTTAACAAGCTAGTGGTTGGGGAATTTTTCAAAAGACATCAAGCCCAATCAAAAGCAGAAATTATTAATTGATAAGCAAAGATTTGAATAATCAAATCAAATATTCCTAATCATTGATCAAGTTTATCAAAGCATTTAAAATTATCTTTGACTAATTTACCTGATGAGGATGTGTGTACACAACTTGTGCTTCATTGTCTCCTGCCTTCCCCCCTTCAAGGTTATTTCATTATTTCAAGGTTAGCTTTAACTAAAGTGAAAAGTTGACAGTAGATTTGAGCTTGCCTTAATTTTGGGTTTGCTGTAGTTGTACAATGTGGTTCCATGTGATGTTTTTCTAAATGAATCCAAATAACAAAAAAAAAAAAACTATCTACTATGGGATGTTTGATTTCGAGCAAATTCTTTTCTGTAGTTGATTCATCAGCAGGCTAATGGATGTTTTAAACGTGGAGATCTTGAAGTTATTCCATATAAATTGGGCATGGTTCCTAGGACTTTGAGAAGTTAGGTTAATACTGCAGTAAATGTTGCTTTGCATCATTTGTTTTCCATTCCACTCCCTGAGTGTCACAAGACAACAAAGCTACTGCACTTACAGCACAGAGAAGGGGTCTGCTCCACACGTGATTGATCCAAAACATGACTTGAAACCTTAGATAAATTCAGCCGAGTGGGCTGTGGTCATTACATGTTACAATTTCTCAAAAAATACATCAGGGTAATACTATGGGAGATAGTACATATCTATTATTTCCTGTAAAAAAGGCTGCATGCTCTGGCAGAGAAGGCTACATGATGCACTCAGATTGGTGCCCTGTGACTTTTCCACGACAGATCTTCACCTTACAGGAGATGGCTTCACAGGTGAGCGAGGTGGACTTATAAAACCTGTGACAAGAATATTCCTTGAGAAAGCTGGGGAATTGGGCTCTCCCACCTACAGTTAAGAGGAAGAAGAATGGGTCTCACGTACGAGATGTAGTTTCGATTATTGACTTAGCTTATTCTCTAAGCAGCAATTGAGCTGCAACCTGCCATGCACCTGGGCCTTTTGTGCTGTTTCAGGAGGAACTTCGGTTCTCTGGGCACAGTTAATTTTTTTGACGATCTGCAGCATCATTACAAGCACCATTACAAAGTGTAATTACACTGGATCTAACAGTCTCTCCTCCCGCGACACACTACGGTATTAAAAGGCAAGCATTGCACAGCGATGTATCCACACTGGTCCAGTAATTAGAGCAACTATGTCCACTGTCAAAAACCGTAACATCAATGTGGATAGAGAGGGACCCACCGGCGTGGCATAAAGGGACGATCAAAGTAGGGCATAAGTTGTGCCCTGGGTACCATCTCCCGTCGCAGCCTCCTCACTTCCTCCTCCTCCGCAACCTGAAGAAGTACTGATCGTTACAAACTGATCATGGAGCATCAGGAATTGCAGATGAGGTGTAAAGCTTCGAAACTGATCAGGAGTCGGAGAGAAATCGATAACATACCTTGCGTCGCATTTCCTCCTCCTGTCTCATCATTTCCTCTTGTCTTTGGCGCTCAGCAACCTGCAACGAGTGATACAAAATCAGCAACATCAAGGCATCTGACAGTAGTCAATAAATCGGGTGAACCGCATCGCGCACCGCGTAGTGCGAAGAGGGCCAGGCACTTACACAATCGTCGAACTCAGCTCTCTCGACAGCTCTAATGTCAGTAATGAGCCTGAAAGCTTCTGGCTTAGTTTGCTCCTTCACTGGAGGCTTAGGCGGAATCTGCAGCACAGGGGAATTAGAAGTTCAGAACGGTTCCCCAAATAGCAGGCTGGAGGTATAGAATGTAATTGAATAACCTGATAATAGTGAAATATATGTGATGGGGAGTACCGCAGGCTCCTCGGTTGTCCACGGTAATCCCTGCGCTAATGGGATCCGCAACCGCTCCTCTTCCTGCCACATATGCTGAAGCCTCTTTGAAAACTCGTACTCCTTCATTGCTCCTCTTTCCTGCAATTCCCAATGTGATCAATGCAAAGGTCTCAAAAAAGGTAGATGTGAACTTGCGGAATGTGCTTGGCACAGCCTACTGATTCCTATTCTACGAACAAAAATTCTCTGAAGTCCCTTCCATTTGCCTCGGCATATTGCATGATTACGAAACATCTCGAAACTGCCGTCCCGCAAATTACCTCAGTACGGAGTCTAAAGGGGTGCAGCGATGTGCAACGCTTAAGTTTTTGCAAGCGCATTGCTTGACCTTTCCGAGTACAAGTCCATGCCGTTGTCCTTGTTTTTCCAGAAGAAGTGGATGCCCCTTTGTCGCTGCAAGTCTGAAAAGAGTAACCACAACGGTTGAGTGCTGACGTCTTCTACACTCTTTAGCCATTCACTGGTTCAACTATTATCTGAATACTTAGCATCGACTTCTGAACTCTACATACTGCGTTGACTAATACCTTGTAAAGAGAACCACGTGGAGTAAAGACGAGGTCTAGAGAAAAGAACAAATGAAGACTCACGTCATCTTTAGAGGTCGTGCTTTGCTCGCCACTAATTGCCCATAGCTGAGTCCGGACTTTCGGTGGTGCTGACTTGCTGCTTCCAGATAACGCATTTGGCTCAGTGTCAAACAACTAGACAACATCACAACTCGAGAAACAGCATTCAAATTCTCTAAGGAAGTTACCATGATTGAACAGCAGTATCATACCTGGTATAAGGGGCAATCCTCGATTCTACCCTTTTCGGCGTCTTTGGGAGGTCCTTCTCATCTTGTTCAGGATGGAGAGAATTCATATTGTCGACGAGCTCTGCCGAAGCCATGGACTCATCCCACGCATGCACTTTATTTATGGAGGCAATGGTCTCCAATTGCGATACGTCTACTGATGAAGATTCAGGTGCTCCGCATCCTCCTGAAAACTGTGAATCTTTCTGAGCCAATCGACCAACATGCGAGTTCTTGTACTTTGCTCTTTGTATCTCTTCTTCCGTGAGCTTAACGGTTTCGAATGCTTTCACTAAGGCGTTGACAGTACCAGGTACCTTAGGAACTAGTCGCATTACAGCGTCTTTAATGGCTGAGTCCCACATCCACTCCTCCGCCTGTTTTCTTTTCAGTCCTTCCTGCTTATTTAATAATATGGATTGATTACTGGAAGTTCCGACAGATAGGCGCCTACCACCCATCTTGTAATATTTTCTTCGCAGAGGGCGCGAGCTACCAAATGTGTCTCTCCTACTATAACTTCGCCCATCACCTTTGGACCTAAACGAGAAACCGCTGGACACTGTGTTTCTGCTTGCACGTACAGAATCTTCCATGATCACGGGTATCCCGCGACTAGTGGCATCCAATGTAACATCATCGCCAGTTCGGGGACGAGTCGATGTGGTCGACGTGGACAGTGCTCCTTCATTACAGTCTCTGCTTTCAAGGTTGACATCTTCTACGGCATTATTTACTGAACCCTCGCGAGTTGAATTTGAAAGCACAGACTGCGGCTGGAGAACCTCGACTACATCCTCCGGACCCACTCTTCCCTCCACATCTGTTGCTGGATCTTCAACGTCGGCTCCGACCCACTGAATAGGTGGTTCGACGACATGTATCTTTCGCGGGGTGGAATGTTTCACAACTGGAACCAGACAGGCTTCAGTGTCGCTTACTCTGGTAAGTTCTCCTTCAATTCCGTCAGGAGCAGTTTCAACAACAGTCTTGGAAAACACGTCCTCTCCGTTATTCTCTTCTACAGCTTCATTACAGATTGTATGATGATCATAACTGTTATCCTCTACAGGCACCGATGAAGCTAAGGCCTTCAGCTTAGAGTTCTGTGGTGGCTGCCAACCAGGTATTAAGTGGCGCTTCGATTTCAGATACTGCCGTGGAGCAGGGACTGCGTAATCAGGGTTGTTCGCCGCACACCTGGGTGATCTGCAAAAGTGCTTGTGAGGAGAATTCCCGACCTCTCTGAGCATAGCAACTTTCGCTGGGCTCTTCCCAAGGACCCCGCCCTCAAGCGCTCCAGCGTCACAATCCAGTCTCCTTCGAACAGGAGACTTGCCCACATCGTTATCGCACAGGATGGTGGATTTGGGTTTTCCAGGCGCCTTCTTGGGAGCACACTTCCCAGGCGTGACCGCCTCTTTGCCCATGTTCGGGTTGCAATTCTCTGCGTGGCAGCCCCCGCTCTGTACGGAGGCAGAGCCATAACCAAAGCAGCCCCCGGCGCCATTGGACGCAGGTTGCAAAGGGGACTTTAAGGCCTCCACAGCCATCAGTCAGAAACTTTTGAAGGGTCAATAGCCTTACAGATTCAGTGCTACACCTTAAACAATTCAGATTCACCGTGACCCACGAATCAGTTCTACGGTGAGAAAATACGGGATCAGAACCACACCACTGATCTCCACGAGGTCTTGCTAAGTGATTCAGAAAGTTGTCAAGGCAGAAGCAGTACTGTAACCATATATAAGTCCATCTTGACACACACCAACTCCAGGATCGCACGCATTACAAATCTTGCCAGGGCACTGCACACAGTCAAAAACCTCCTGCCCGTCATCACCAAAGATTCCTCCAAGACACGCTTGATCAATTCCACGACCGCAATCCCCCTCAATCGCACGAACCAAATCCAACCAAACCCAACCAAAACGACCAAAAATCTCTCACTTCGTACCTCCAAAAAAACCATCCGGTGCTACAACATCGTCAATCCTCCACGCGATTCGCTTCGCCCGAAGTTCTCCGCTGCCTTCGACCACATCCAGAACTTAAAATCGTAGACCTCCCTCACCAAAAACTCACGTTACTCTGTCCAACAATCCCCCCCTCTCCTCTTATTCTAATCCTGGATTCAAACTCCTCCTCCTCCTCTTCCTCCGAACAGTTTCCACGAACTCTTCCTTAGCAGCAACACCTCCACAATCCAAAAATCACTCAGAAGACCTGAACCCACCTAAAAACCGATTGTCCAAATCTCGCAGACTGAAACTCTACACAACAACACAACAAATACCCACGAGAAGAAGGCGAGTCTAGACCAAATGCGCGGTGCGGGGGCGATCAAAGAGGGGCAGGGAGACATCGCATCGCGAGGATTGTTGTATTGAGCGTTCGGAACCTGCAGGAGGAGCACAACAGTTTGTTCGCGGCTCTGGAGGAGTTCGCGCTGACGTGGACCGAAGTGCTGACATGGACGAATGCCACTGGCCCGACCCTTGGGGCTGAATGGGTATCCGTTAAACAGCTAAATTTCGATCCAACGGTACTCTTCGTTGGTGCCGGCTGCGCGTTCCCTTGGGGAGTTAATGCGCTCCCCTGGGGATTGGAACCACGTTCGAATGACGCGTTCGCATGGTTCCCATAGCGCTTCACCTTGATTGTGGGGTTGAAAACTTGGGCCTCCATGGCGTGATTTATGAACGTTTGTCTTTTTGTAGGGTTGGGATTAGTGCACCCCCCCCCCCTCATTTTTAAAAGTAAGTTGACTTAACATTTCAAATCACCCTATGGCCTAATGAAGTATCCCTTCGAAAACAAAATCCTCTTGGGTTTAATACACTCTTTTGCTATTGCTTGTTTGTCCACCTTGCATATTAATTGCCAACTCTATCCTAAAAACCTAACCTTAAACCCCTCTACAATTGATTGTTTCCAATTGTTTTAATGGTTTCTTTTAAACTTTTTTCCTTTCTAGCATGTTATATCCAAAAGCTTATCCTACACTACTTCAATAAATTTGATAAATAGTGGAGTATTTCTTTTTGCATATTTGATGATTGATCAACAACAGATGTGTTGGAATGTTTTTCTGTTTTCTTTTCTTTATTTCTTTTGGCTCTTTGATGTATATATATATATATATATATCTATAAGTATTTAAATAGAAATGTTGGGTTGTTATTTTTGAGGACACATAAAGATTCTTGGAATGTTTTATTTGATTTATTACATCGCTTTGTTAGTTATTTGATTTTTGCAATCATCAGAGTTTTGTAATAAATGTTTAGGAGACTATTCAAATGTTTCAATTTCAGTTGAATTTGATAACATAGTAAGTACAATCAGATAGCTTACAGTTGAGTTGATTTTGTCAAAATGGAATAAATAAAGATAGATAAACGACTATATATCTAAAATTATAATCCCATAATACCATTTTTTTACATCTAAAATTAATTAATTAAATGCACTGTAGTGTGTGAGATATAAATGCATCGAAATAATTAAAACAAATAAACACTAATGATAAAATTAACTTTAAAATTCAAGGTTATTGCTTTTTTAACTATGATTACATCAACATCTGCATACATATTTCGGATAACGTTGTAAACATTGTAGAACACAAGTATACAAAGTGACCACTATAAAAATTAAACTGTTTCAATTGCTTATTCCTAACTTTTCAATTCATAGTCCTAAAATAAATGGTTCATAATATTTTTATGTCTTATTTATTAGATTTTTTGGATAGTCATAATATAAGTTTTAAAATTAGGACATCTATATATATATATATATATATATAGACATATAATATATATAAATAGACATAGATACATATGTAATTAAATTATGGAAAGCGCAGCAGAAGAGCTCTCGTAAGCATGGCAGGCAATTGCCACCTATTATCTTTTATCCTGTTTTGTTCTGATTATTTGATTTCAAAATTAATTTGTTGTTAAAATTATATTTGAATGTGTATATATATATATATACATATATGTGTGTGTGTGTGTGTGTATTTGTTATACTCTAATGCTTTGAAAACTCTTTTATGTTGCAGTGCCTATATGAAATGTTTAATGTTGTTGTTTATCCACTTTCTATATTAATTTTATCTTCAACTGATGAGAAATAAATGACTATTATTGATTAAAATCGAATCATTTGCTTTGGAGCATTTTGCATGATTATATTAGACAGATCATGTTGTGTCATAAATGATATTTTATCTCTTAAATACGTGGATTAGCATGAAGGGTTCAAATGTTATCGGTATTATTAAAGAATTACACCAAGCTTTATCAAAATAATAATTATTATAATTTTTCATTGGTGTCATATGCATCATTAAATTTTAAATAGGAAAGAATGTCAATTTATAGTAAGGATTGTAGTACCCCATACAATTATTAAAATACCAGGAAATAAATTCAAGTCGTGTTTTTATTAAAATGTGAATTTGGGCTGTTCTCCTTTTATTGGTTACTAGAATGATATACTTAGAATAATATATATATATATATAAATTCCTATTTCACTACACAAAATTAAATGACTAGATCACTATTTGTAAAAATCTGAGGTTTCTAAAAGAATGTTTACTTCTTCAAGTGGATGAACTTCATAAGGCTTTCAAATGAAACGTTTTTGAAATGTTTTTTGCAATTTCATTTATAATTAATAGATGAAAAAAAAAAAGTTAAAAAAGTAACAAAACTTCTGCAAGTAAATAAACTATTATCATATCTAGTCTATTTTTCTAGTAATCATATAAAGAACATCAATTTCTAAAATTTAAATACAAGTTTCACATGAAATTATTGAATCTTTAAATTTAAATTAAAAAATAAAATTATATAAACGAAGTTATTTTCTTTTTTAAGAATAAAAAAATATATATTATTATTATTTTATCTGATATATGTAATTTAAAAAATATATTATTTTGTATAATCATATTTATAAACACATTTCAATTCTGTTATACTATATTTGTTATTTTATAAATTAGTATGTTATGCAAAAATTGTAAAAATAAATTTCATTGCATGCATATATTATATTGGAATAAAAAAATATATACCAGAACTATCAAATATACAATTTGAAGTAAACATCAATTCTATTAACATCTTAAATTGTAACTTTTAAAATTTATCTTTAATTGTGATGTATTAAATTGAAATTATTGGTTATTACGAATCTTAGAAAACATAAATATAAATATTGCTTCTTTACATTTAAAATTAGTACTGTACATGCATACTAAAAATAAATTTATTTGAGGCCACACTAACGACCTAACTTATACAGATGTTTGAGACACATGCAACAAAAAAATCTAACTGTATTTTAAACTTGATTGTATATGAATTAACATGAATGCTTATTTTTCCCTCATTGTTGTACAAAAACCTAATATAAATTTAGACATATGCTAAATATGCAAGAAAAATGATGAAAATAGTACAATAAGAGCATCAATTCAATTTTTTAAATCAATATTTCTAATGCATTTATTCAAAAACATGTACAAAGTTATGTGAAAAATTATATTATTGTATAATTTACTCATAGTTTTTATTTTATTTTATTCTTTTAACTTTTTAATTCACCTAATACTGAAAGTTAAGTAATGGGTATATTTAATAAATTATGTGATATAAAGTTTTTATGTAATATTAATTTTTTGAGTCTATGTTCAAAAGATCTTTTATATATATATATATATATATATATAATGTAAGAAAATCATATGTAGCATTAGTTGTTTTATTTAAAATTTATGATTCTATAAATTTTAGAGCTTGTTAGAATAATAAATTTAACAAATTTGAATGATAACTAAAGAAACATAATATGTAATATTAATCCACTTGTTCAAAAACTTTAGATAAACATCTATTTTAAAAAACACAACAACAATTACACAAAAAACAATAACTTATTAGAAAGTCTTTAAATCTTGTGCATATTATTTAATACAATTTTGAAAACCAAATTCATGTCCTTGTAGGTTGTAGTCTAGATTCTTAAGAGCACTCAACCAAATTGTTGCATAGAGACATCCATATGTTTACAAAATCTTATGCTTAATCATATATATTATAATTACAAAAAAAATACAAGTACTTAATTGTATAAGATTATGTATATATATATATATATATATATATGAAATATTAAAATGACCCAACTATTTACTAAATCAATCAACCCTATTGTGGAGAATAAGAGAGGTTGGGATGAGAGATATGATTGTAATGATGGTTTTTGGAGATGATCTATTTTTCTAATGAGGGTTATAAAAGGGTGGATTGATTCAGGAGACAAATGTGTCATTTTAACATTTTCCTATGTATATAATTTATTTATTTTTTGGTTTGTATTAAGAACAAAAAACATTAGTGAAGAGATTTTTATGTGCCATTTGAGAGTATATGTTTTTATTAACTTATAATATAAATTTAGAATCTATATTAATAATTATCCAATAATAATAATAATATTATTATTATAATATGAATATCAAGGTATTACATTTTATTATACTAATTTAATGTTGCTGAAATGTTCTTTTTTAAATGGTTCTATTTGAATGTATCTTGAAGGCAACTTGATTCAGTCATTAAGTTTTCTAAAATATATAATTATATTTTAAGAAATAATAGTAGAAAAATGTTTATAAAATATATCAGAATTTATCAGATCAACATTGTTAAATAAATAGAAAAACATTCAATCTATATTAAATTAATAATCAATAAAAATATACTTTTTTCAGAACATGACCTTCATTAATTATTATTAATTACTTTGGATTTTTCCAATGAAATAAATTTAATTGAAATACATCTTCTTGCAATTATTTTTTTGTAGTTACTAAACTACAAGTTTTTCTTCTTGCTCTCGAGGTTCAAACATAAATTTAAAAATAAAATTACATATTTTTATTTTAATATAAATGTAAAAAATTATAATTTAAAGTAAAAGCAAAATTTCCGTTTTCATCATTTTGCTTAATTTTCTGTCTAACAAATTTACGACTCTATTTTATACATGCAAATGAATTATTTAAGATTTTGCAGATTCAACTCCAAAATAGAAATTGAAGTGAGTTTATTTAAACATTTTTTTTGTTCCATTTGTGATTTTTGAGTTTTCAACAATTTTTTCTTTGTTTAAATTTTTTTCTACCAAGTCATATAATTTAATGAATTAACTATTTCTATTTTTTATAATAATATCATAAAAAAATTCGTACAAGGTCTTTTACATTATTTTTAATTTTTAATTTACAAATGTAATATATTAAATGCATAGATTAATTTGTGATTATAAGAAGGTGCATCCCAAGTCATTATATTAGAAAAACAAGAGAAATAAA